TAACTCGTTTTATACAATTCCTTATAAAGCAGTGTAATTTTTTAATGCTTTACATACATTAATATTTTTTATCATAAATAATTGATAGCATATTTTTTATTGTTTATATTTTCAGGGCTGGTTTTCGAGAAACTTAAATGATCACATGTACACACTGCCGTCACATGTTCCTTTAAAAGAATCAGACAAATGAGAGTGCCAAGATGAGTCGCCTGCCAAAACAACAACGTCATTTTAAACGCACTTTATGAATGAACCGCTTTTTAAAAATGATGTCGTTTTAAACCCTTTCCCCCATGAGCATATTCGGTGGAAAATGGCCGTTTTCACTGAAAAGCCTCCTGTTACAAGTTTCAAACTGCTTGAAACTAGTGAAAAATGCTTCAATACTAATCAAACTCGGCACAAATGTTTTTTCTTGACTGGACCATTGCCTTTGTAACGACATGCTCAGTCTTAAATTTCCTGTTACCATGGCAACGAGGGGGCATCTCAAAATTGCCCCAAATCACTATTTTTGCCTCGATTTTTTTCCATCAAAATTTATTTCAAAGTGCTGCAACTTCTCAAGGGATTGAGATAGAGTCAAAGGCTTTTTCAGCGTTGGTTACACGTTACATTATGATCGACCTGGGGTCATTTTTTAGCCTCTCACAAGTCCAAAATTTTCTTGGCGATGAGGGGGACTCCGCCCCCCTTCAAAACCCCCCTAACAGAAGGGGGCACGTCCCCCTTCTGGCAACCCCCTGATGTATCTTTTGGATGGGGGGCAGCGCCGAAAAAGTGCTCAATTTTTTTAGTAACATTTCTCAAACGAAAACATGTGTTTGGGGCCCAAATAGGACATTTTTTCACTCTTTGAGGCCTAAAAAGGGGGGGGGTCGAAAGTGCGTTGTTTCGCGTATTTATGGGGTAAAGGGTTAAAAGGGAAATATGTGCTTAGGATGAGGTCATTTCGAAATAATTCATTTTAGTTATTGATGAAATGACTTTAATTTCCATGAACATATATCATAATTTATTGAGGTAAACCATTTTAAAATATGTAATAATATGGCAGAATATGCAAGAAAAAATATCTGACATATGTTTGCGGTTCGGATCGAAATATCCGTCCCTCAGGAACCCGCCCATGGGCGGTAACTCTGCAAGCTTCGTGACCGACCAATGGACGGGTCCTCTCGGCACAGATCTTCCTGTCCGAACCGCAACATATCACAGATATTATTAATATGTGTCTTAAAGGGACTCCACTGAGGTTTTTGAAATGAGGAGGCTGAAAATAATTTTTCGAGATTAATTTTCCATTTGATGAAGGTCTAGAGCAATAAGTTGTGTGGGCAAACTTTTATATCATTCTCTCATTCCAATTTTACCAAAAATAATTATTCTTATTGTGCAAAATAACTCATATTAAAAAGTGATGCAATGCTTTTTCACTCATAGTGTTCTAAAAATAGCTTGAAAATACAAGTTTCAATTTATTTCTTTTATATAATTTTATTTATCTTTTACAATATATTTTTCAGTTTGCCAGCTTCTAGTGTATATAAGAAATGCAGATTTTCTGGTTTTAGGTTTTTTGGACCTCAGTTGAGTTCCTTTAAGATTACAATGTGACTATCACTGATACTGGAATTATTGTAATCATATTTAGTAACTTCATCCATACAGGACCTGGTAGAGAGAGCAATTATTGAGATACAGGTTGGAAAGCCGGTAACCAGACCAGGACCTTTCCTTCATACAGGACCTGGTAGAGAGAGCAATTATTGAGATACAGGTTGGAAAGCCGGTAAACCAGTCCAGGAACTTTCCTTCAACAGAATGCCATATTGGTGTTTGACTGTGGGATGCGTGAGTTTGTCTCCCTTGATTCACTGTTCTTGTTGGAATTCAATATTTTTTATAATTACATTGAAGCTACATTAATCAATAAAAATGTTTTAATCTGTCTTAGACCTTCTAAAATGTTTTGGACTCTTCATGTACAATTCAATTTATAATAATGAAAACATTAATTTAGTAATTTATAAGTGATTTAGTAACAACTTGTACTTGTTATAAAAATGAATGATGAGTAAAAATTATTGTTGCTTTTATTATGTTATTAAGACATTTATAACTTCACCTCCATAAGTAAAGCTTATTTTGTGAAAAGGGTTTGTTATCTCCTAATGAAATTGATGTAATTAAGGCACTTCTTACCTCCCCTTATAAAATGTGTTTAATTATGACAATAAATGTTTTGTTTTCAGATTTATCTGGCTAATACAACATATTATTCCGCTATGTTTGATGTTGTCATGGGTTTATTCAGTAGCCATTTGGAACAGAAAATTGTCTATTGAAAAAGGAGAAGAGATATAAAGAGGTATAAAAAACTTGTAAATTTTTGTTAACTTATTTTACCTCTTTTAGTTTTTTGCCTTTTTTATTTGTTTTTAAATGACTTTTGTTTGCATGCTTGATATATCTTGTTGATATTCCTTTAAAATGGTTATTTTTGTTTCCATGAAATATTTTACAACCATTTTTGAAAATGTAATATATTTTTTATAACCCCCCTCCGTGGGCGGGGTTTGGGTTTTATTTACTTTTAATCCCGTTTTTCCTCTCTGGCGTGGTTTTGATTCCCCCGGAGTGCTTTTTTTGGGTTTTTTTTCGGGAAAAGGAAGGGGAGTTTGTAAATGGTGGGAACTCTCCCGGGAAACCCATGGTTGGAAAAATACCCGCCTATATGACTGAAATACTGTTGGGAAAAGGCGTAAAAAAATGAAACAAACAAACAAAAAACATATTTATTAAAATGTCACACTGAAGCAGAATATTCTGTAAACAAAAAAATAAATGAAGTTGCTGTATATTTATATATGAGTGATCAACAATGAGTGATATATGATATATTAATATATATATATATTAATGGGTGTCTAGCAACTGTTCAAATAAAAGCCCTGGGGTCAAAATTGGCCCCGCCCCAGGGGGTCATTGATTTTTCCTATATGCATATAGTAAAAACTTAAAAATCTTCTTTAAAAAAACCCAAAGAACTAGAGCTAAGATATTTAGCATGAAACATATTCTAATGGATGTCTACCAAGTTTCTTCAAATAAGAGCCATTGGGTCAAAATTGGCCCCGCCCCAGGGGGTCATTGATTTTTCCTATATGCATATAGTAAAAACTTAAAAATCTTCTTTTAAAGAACCCAAAGAGCTAGAGCTAAGATATTTAGCATGAAACATGTTCTTATGGATGTCTACCAAGTTTGTTCAAATAAGAGCCCTTGGGTCATAATTGGCCCCGCTTCAGGGGGTCATTGATTTTCCCTATATGAATGTAGTAAAAAGTTAAAAATCTTCTTTTAAAGAACCCAAAGAGCTAGAGCTAAGATATTTAGCATGAAACATGTTCGAATGGATGCCTACCAAGTTTGTTCAAATAAGAGCCCTTGGGTCAAAATTGGCCCCGCCCCGGGGGACATTGATTTTCCTTATATGTGTATTGCAAAAACTTGAAAATCTTCTTCGAAAAAACCCAAATAGCTAGAGTTTAGATATTACACATGAAACATCTTCTAGTAAGTGTCTTCAAAGATTGTTCAAATAAAAGCCCTGGGGTCAAAACTGGCCCTGCCCCTGGGGTGTCATTGTTTTTAAATATATGTGTAAAGAAAAAACTTAAAAAATCTTCTTTTAAAAAACCCAACGAGCTAGACCTTAGATGTTTAGCATGAAACATCTTCTAATGGGTGTATACAAGTTTGTTCAAATAAAAGCCCTGGGGTTTAAACTGACCATGCTCCGTGGGGCCTATATACAGGTGAGCGACTTCAGGGCCATCATGGCCTTCTTGTTTTATTTATCAGATTTTTTTAACAAAATGGCGAAAAAAGTCTCTTAAGATAAATTTGAGTTTTGACTCGGCCCACTTTCATATTTATATTTCATATTTATTTTTCACAAATATGAAATATATTTGACTGATATAGCATCATATTTCATGGGTACGAGGTTTGTTCAAAAAGTAACAGGACTGGGAGTCTTGCGTATTCAAGTTGCATTCAATTTAGAATATTTTCATATGTACAGCAATCGTAAAATGTTTTCTAAAAATCAAACATAAGTTTTTTAATCCATTGTGCTAAACGCGCTTTTCCTTTGCTATTGAATAACCATGGTAACACGCACCCGGCGCAGCACATAAATATAGTTATTGGAGCTAAGTTCTACTTCTAATTTCGGGTCTACTTATTCAGTTTTAACCAAAGGATTATAAATAAGACATTTGTTATAAACACTATTTTATTGTATTTAACTAGATATACGTGTAATCAATGAATTAATGTAATAGTTAACGGTAATAATTAGTAGTGTTTCCCGAAATCTTGTTTTAATAAACGATAGACTAAGTAGAAAATGATACTTTTCAATTGAGAAATATTGTTTTAAAACATTCAATGACATGAGTAAATTAATAAAATAAATTGCTTTTGCTTTAACATTTTCAGTCCTATTGAGTTCCACGGTTACTTAAAAAACACGAGAAAACCCGGAAAATGGCCGGCTATTTGGCATTTATTTTATTTTGTTTGTTTTTTTGAAACAGTGGAACGAGAATGTGATTGCTTTTTTTCTTGCTTCATCTCCACATATGAGGCAAAGTAAAAGTTACACGACTAATACACCTAGAGACTAGGGAGACTACTTTCAGAAAGAATGACGCTTATTTCAATTTTTATTTATTTTACGACGTCATGAACATCAATTATTGTATTGTTAGCGTGCACCGCGTTTCATTTGAAAATTTCACAGAAAATTCATTTGTTTACATTTTGTTTTGATTTTTTCACTTTATATAGAGAACATGTTCCGATATTTGTCTCATGTAAAATTTTGTACGTAAATTTGAAAATGTGAACAGTAGAGCTGCAGTCCTATTACTTTTTGAACAACCCTCGTAAAATTAAATAAAATGTCATATTTTATGAGCAATCTCCCTACACTGAACAATATGAATACAGGACAGTTTCATCTTGTGACAACATATAATAAATATTTTCAGGTATATATTGGTTGTGGGTGTAACACAGACTGTTTCTGTACACTATATATTAAACCAGACCTGCGAGACTTGACAAGAGGAGAAGTTGTGACCAACTTGAGAAAGGTTAGTATGAATCATACATGTATATCCTTCTATCAAGATTAATACATCCATATGTCAAGATTTAGATATATTGCATTGGTATGCCAAGATTGATATTTTATGAGGTTTTGTCATGATAAGCTTGTCGGCGTTGGTTAACCTTTTTGGTTAATTTTCCACATCATCAGGAATTTCAATAGTAATATAATATGATAAACTAGATCAACAAGGAAATGCTGCATTCAATGAATGCAACCCTAACACGACTATCATGTGGATAAACCTTGATGATTTCAGCCTGTCACACTGATTATATGGTCAAAAGGTCAAAGATCATTGTGACCTTTTATATGTTAAGGTCCATTTTCTTAGAAACTATCAAAGCTTCAAACTAATTTACTCATGCTATATACAATTTCACAAGGGCAGATAATCCTTAATTTATATTTTACTCAAAGTTATTTCCCTTTAATAACTAAGAATTTTTTTTAATAGGTATTCACTAAAAAATTTAGAATGCACTTCTAAACGGCAGATAATCCTGAAGGGCATGTTTTGGGCATTTTTTGCTAAGTTATCTTTAATCTCCCTTTATTATAAGTTTGATATTGAATATTGATGAATATGTATAATGTTATTATATTAATTTGCTAGGTATACAAGAAGGGAGATAAATCAGCATTAGACAGTCTGTCTATGAATCAGATCACTGTGTTCCTCGGTCATAATGGTGCTGGAAAAACAACAACTATGTTAGTAAAACTATATACAGTTAACACCATTGTACACGATAAGTTAACGTTAGATTAGACTTTTGTTCTTTGTTATATATTTAAAGCAGAACCAGAGTTGTTTTAGGTGTAATCTGACTTCCAATTATCAATAGATACATTGAGTCAATATTTGAATTTTTTCTTTGATGTAGGTTATAAACAACACAAACTTGGTGTTAATGTTTAATCAAGTCATTTTATTGTGTCGCTTTGAAAAGGCTACATAAAGGGGTTACTTTTGTCAGCGGCGTCGTTGTTGGCTTCGCTGTTGGCATCAGTGGCCTCCCCTAAGACTTGTCCATACAGGATGTCCATGCTGTTTCTTCATGGTCTGCACTGTTCCTCATTCAATCAACATTTTGAAATTTTCCCTTATAAATGATGAATGGTTTTGTTTGGATTTTAAAGGTGGTTGAGTCTGTTTAAGATATTAAGCATGGTTAACATTAAAGAAAATGTTAAACAGTTTAGTATATGGTTATATTTGTTGCTGATTTTCATTGAATTGTACATTCTCTAGTGATTTTAAAATATTGAAATTAAAACCTTTTTTCAGGTCAATATTAACAGGCATGTTCCCGCCCACATCTAGTACTGCTACCATATATGGTCATAATGTGATGTCAGATATGGATACTGTAAGACAGGATCGAGGGATGTGTCCGCAATATAAAGTTCTGTTTGAAAGGTAAAATAGGAATTTCATTTACATGTTTACAAAATTATAAAATAACTGACAATATCTATATAAAGTGGGCATTCTTTATTTTGAATACCATTCTGATATACACTTTTCTGTACCCAATGTTTTTATTAAGTTTAGAAAAAATGGAATATATGTATGACTAAATTTGATTGATCTTCACCCAAACATTTTGTTGGCTAAACTTTTTTATAAGGAAAAAATGTTGCGCTTTTGTCATGACCCTTTCGTTAGCATTGGTGTTTGCATCAGCAATAATAAAAAGAGGATATTTTTTGTTTGAGTGAAATATGGAATATGTTTTCACGAAACATGATAAAATGCCACATATTTTCACTAGCCGGGATGGCAAGTGAAAATATTAAGATGTTAATACACGGCAGGAGAGGGCTGGAAGGTGATAATCGGCCCGCAAAATGAATAATGGACCCGGGGCGAGGGCTTTAGCCCGAGGGCCATTATTCATTCAGGGCCGATTATCACCTCCCGGCCATACTCTGACGTGTATTAATGTCTTTAATACACTTTGTAGATCTTATAGTAGCATTTTCTTTTAAAAAATACAACAACAAAGTTCTTTCGTTGAAATTCTTGTCTACTCTTCTACTGTTCTGTATAGAGATGTTTACTGTTTGTGTGTTGAAAGCAGTAGAATCTAGAAGCAAGTTTTATTTTCATTTTTTTCAGAATGAATTTGTCATATTATTTCTTCAAATTTCAATAGTAACACAAATGTGTTTGTACTAAATACGCTTAAGCTCTCATAATAAAAATAAAGCAATACGTGCTGACAACCTACTTTCACTTTTACAGTTAACTGTTTGATGACGTAAAATATGACGTCATTGTTTCAGTTTGTGCACGTTCACATGTTCTGCGGGCTGATAACTAGTTCTCGGCCCCGGGCCGCAAACTCATAATAGGTCACATGACATTCATAATCAGTTGAAATCATAGGCAATTTTGTTACTATATATAGTAACAAGTGTATTAAGTGGCATTTTATCATGTTGAGTGAAAATATATACTATATTTCACTCAAACGAAAAAATTACCTTTTTATTTAATTTCATTATCAAAGAAAAATGGTTATGAACACCCTTGCTTGCTACGCAACTGCAATTGTACAGCGCGCGGTAATATTATTATTGTCTTGTTTTGCACCCGATATTTCGCACTACATTGTGACGTCACGTAAACAACTCTTTAAACATTTGTTCAGCGTTTATGACTGAATTAAAGATATTTGTGTTAGGATTGATTTTCTTAGTTAGACCATTTTCTATCATTCTAGATAGTTTTCAAAACAAAATTCATCAAAGTTGTTTTGTATTTATCAGATTTTTCAAACAAAATGGCGAAAGAAGTCCCTTAAAATAAATATGAGTTTTGACTCCGCACACTTTCATATTTATATTTTAAAAAATATGAAACATATTTGACTGATATAGCACCATATTTCATGGGTTAAATTAAATAAACATTTTCATTAAGGGTCATTTTCTTAGAAACAAAGTTATATTCACATGTTCATTAAAAAAAATGAGCAGATAATTTTAAAATTATTTTTTTGCTAAGTTGGTCCATTTTCTCAACAAAGTTCACTACATGTATTTCCCTATCAAAATATATCAATTTGGAATATTTGTTCAATTCAAAATTGAAATACATTGTAATATATTTAAAGAGCAGGTAATAGGACTTTGTGTTTAATGTGTCGGTAAACCTTCTCTATGTTTTATAAGAAGTTTACCATTTATACATCTTGTAACCTTGTTTACATTTGATTAGTTTTTATTACATGTTTACATTTTGTTACAGTTTGAATGTGGAAGAACAACTTTGGTTTTATTCACGTTTGAAGGGTGTTCCAGCTAGAGATAAACAAGATAATATTCCAAGGTAAGAATAGTTTACCATAATGAAATTTTGTATAATCTGCTGAGTAAGATTTAAGGGTTTTAAAAACATATTTGTTACACTGTAAATGGTAGTTTAAAGTCTATTTGCCACAGAAAAATTTAGATCTAGATTTCATGTTTAATTCAACGTAAATGCTGTAGACCTCAAGAGACAAAAAACTGATCCCGCAACACCCTTGTCTTTGGACATATTGATAGTAATTTAGGTAGATATGTTCTTACGCATGTACATTTACTTTTAAAACAGAACAAAACATAAACTTTATTTCAGACTTGTACAAAATACATCATCATCAGACAAAATATTATCATTTAAATATTTCAAATATAAATCACATTCCATAATTATGTCAAATGTTAACAATTTTTTTTTGCTTAATTTATAATTGGGCTAGCACAAAGCAAAATGTATTTGTTATTTCTGTAACTACAGAAATCATACAATCAATGATATTTATTTATGCTATGCTACACAGAGGATTACAGTCAAACATATTCTTGAACATCACTGTCGGTTCAAATCCTGACAGTGACTTTTGATTATTTCACATCAGGCAGCTATCCTGAGCTTGCTTGCAGTATGCCAGTGGTTCTTAACTCAGGTGCCTGCTCATGCCTGAAACTACTGCACAATCAGGAACCTGGGGTCTTCCTAGATAATAAAAATCGGAAAGTGACCATATGACCTAAATTTTAGTATTAGTGTTGACTTAAAACCCGACCGCCCAGCCACAAATACAGTACGTTTTAGGTACAATAGAAGTACCTATAAAGCCCCACAATGTAGTATCAATATGGTATCACTTAAGTACCTGCTTCTAGTGTACTTTATTTTATGGAGCAAAATTTAACATTCACTCGAACAGGGGGAAGTACACTTAAAGCTCCGTCTAAAATATTTAAATTATGCTTCAAAGATACTTCTTTTATGAAAGCATATATAAAGCATCACTCAGGTAGTACCTACAAGCTCAGCATGGTAGGCTCAGGGAAGTACATTTTAAGTATCAATTTAGAAAGTACCTTTAAAGCTTTACCAGAAGTACAATAGAAGCATCACTTGTAGCCCTTTTAAACATCAGCTTGAAATTAATAATGAAGTACATTTGAAGCACAACATAAAGAAGTACATTTAAAGCATGATCATTTATTGAAGTATATTTAAAGCATCAAACACTATATATCTTAAGAAGTACAATTTAAGCATCAAGTTGAAGTTCATTTAAAGCGTCACTGAAGAAGCACATTTAAAGCATCATTGAAGAAGTACATTTAAAGCATCATAAATTACATATATAAAGTTTTAAATGGTTAAAGGGTATAAATCTATATCTTATGAAATATTTTAATAAACTCTATCAACGGTAAAATAATATTGGTTCCATTTTTATATGATTGATTGTACTGTTAAAATAACCCATAATTTACTGAAACAGAAGGGTCCCCTTGCCCTCAGAATGTAAATGTTATGACAAATCATGACCTGCACAGGCATGTAATTTACTTGTACATAATGTAAAGAAAAATGCAGATTTAAAATTTCCCCTTTAATAACACTCAGTGAAAAAGATTTAAATTAGGACATATGTAAAATTTATGAAGAGAAACAAAAACTAAAATTATAAGTGTTAATTTAAGGTAAATTTGAAAAGGCTGTTGTAACAAAATAGTCTAAATAGCTTACCATTATTCCATTGAACAATAGTAAATTTCCATTTCCATCTGATTGAAGAACTCATTTAATGTCCCATTATAATTTCATTAAAGTTCACATTATAAAGTTGTTTCATCTAAATGACACTTTAGGCACATGTTTAACTTTAGTCCTAAGCATCTTTATAAATTATAAGCACTGAGGTCCAAAGAAACTTCCTGAGAAATATTTGAATTTTCTGAGAGCCAGATTTGTTCAGGATATTAGATTACATGTTGTAAACCTCACTTATCTAACACTTTCTTTTATATAAGATAGGCGAGTTTAACACAGGCTATTATGAAAACAGCAAGGAGAAACTCTTGACCCCTCACTGACCAATTACACATGGTTTATATTATGTTACAATCACTTGTGTTTGTGAGTTAAATTTTACTCAAGACTCAAAAGTACATATGAAGTCCCTAGAAATATGCTTTATATTTTCATATTTAAGTGTTTAAAGCATCATTGAAGCCCCATTACTGTTCTTATCTATTTATTAATGTTTACAAAGTATCAACAAAGTCCCTGGCACTTCCAGCAGAAGTTCCCTGGGCTTCTACTGAAGCAGGTATGTGTTAGGAAGAGTATACTTGAAGTCCCAGGGGCTTCATTTGAAGTATGGTTGTTAAGTATCATTGAAGTCTGTAGGACTTCAGGTGAAGCAGGTCTTATTATCTGTAAGTATATCTGAAGTACATTTCAGGTATACTTAAAGCTGGGGGACTTACCTGAAGCATGTGCTTCATTTGTGGCTGGGCGAAAAAGTCTTGAACAGCCCAAACAAATATATCTATAAAAAGGTTTCCTAAAGTTGTTAATTATTTACCTAATATTACAATTATTGAGTATTACTATTTTGTTGAAAGAATATTGTCAGATCTCAGCTTAGAGAACAAAGGGGATTCACACCCAGATGAACTCTGGAGGCATGCAGAGGAAACTTTCTATAGCTATAGCATTTGTTGGAGGATCACGCACAGTGATCTTGGACGAGCCTACTGCCAGTGTCGACCCCTACTCGCCTAAAGCCATCTGGAATCTACTCACTTAATACAAGACAGGTATAGTTGAAGTGATGATTGTAATTTCAGTTGAGTTATTTTCCTTAACATTTAGAACAGAATTTGACAATTTACCTAAATCAGCTGTTTATATTGCTTGTTTCATATTTTGTCAATTATTTAGAGGATATTTGTTTTGGTCAGTGTAAGATCGGAATATATTTCACCGAGTGAGCCCCAAAAGGTATATTTCAGGAGTGGTGCAGCCACATGTAAAATATGAACTTTTGGTGTTCACGAGGTGAAATATGTTTCGATCTTGCAATAAACTTTTTATTATATGCAAAGAAACGTTTAAAAAGACGTTTTAACCTAATGCTTAATTAAAAGCACACCAAATAATAATACAATGTGACATCATTTACGATGTCACACCATTTAGTTGGTTTCCAGTACTATGCATGCTGGTATTTCACTGAAACAATGAAAGGGGCTTAAATTCAAAACAGTGAAATTATCAAAGTGGTAACTTCTGTCTGATTGTTTCAACAATGAAAATATCAGTTTTATATTTCACTGATATATTTCTATAAACCAACGAAAAGTATGTAATAAATGAGTGTAACCAAGTGCTATTTTTAGGGTTAAATTGTTATTTTCCAAGGAAGACAACTCTTTCAACCTTGTTTGATTTTTAGCTCACCTTGCACAAAGTGCAGGTGAGCTTTTAGGATGGCCAACCAAATGCGTCCGTCGTCCGGTGTCCGTCCACATTTTATTCAAACGACATCTTCTACAATACCACTTGGCCAATATTAATGAAACTTGGCAGGAATACTCATTGTATGAAGCTCTATCAAGATTGTTCAAAGAATGCCATTCCATGCTAAACTCTGGTTGCTATGGCAACTAAAAGAAAAAACTTAAAAGTTCTTATACTTCAAAATGGAAAGGGCTAGAGCTTAGATATTTCTCACAAGGCATTAGCTTGTTAGTTCCTACAAAGTATATTCAAATTATGGGCTAAAGCTGAAAATTGGTCTCTATTTTTGGAGTTAAAGGGATTTTTTATTGCAAGGTTATATAGACTTTATTTGTAGGGATAAATTGAGACAGTGTATCTTGTAATTTTTGTCTCAACAGACATTGTAACGAAGATTTTTCTTTTAAAGCATAAGACGGCATCTTGGCGGCCATCTTGGATTTCTCAAAACGTACCATGATTTGACATGTCTACCCCAAAATTTTGTAAACTTGAAATATTAAGCTTTACATTGATATAACATTTATCCATTTTTGCACACAAACGGTCCCCAAGGACTGTACTAATAATATTAGATTTGTTGAACTCATTATTTTAATGTCAATGTTATAAAGGTGAAGTAAGCCAGTAAAGTAATATGTTCTTGTAGTTTAATGAAAAACACTTTCCGACTTAAGGAAAGAGTTCTGAGTTCAAATCTCAGCAGGGACATACTTTCCTGGTCATGAATAGACTTAATGCTTTACTTGTTTAAGTATATTATGCAAGAATAATATATAGTCTTATAGAAATACTAAGTCAAATGAAGAAAAAGTCTAATTGGGAAAAGTAGCATGACTAACCGTAATGTTCAACACTCTGTAGTTCCTCTAATCCCAAGATGAACACAGTTATTAAACCACACTGTGTTTAATAAACTGTGTGGTGTTCTGCTGCCTAACACATGTTTTTCATTCAAAATATTGATGTCATTATCACTGATTGGGCTGCATTTATTAGGTTTGTTGCCCTTTCCCATTTTCTTAAGTGACTTTTGTTTAGCTTTAAGAGCATTTCTGGATATGTTAAAGAATTTTGCTCCAGATTCTTGCATTATTTTCACCGGGTATTTCAGTTCCTTCTGTTTTCGGTCAATGCTTGAAATAATGGTTGTTGGCTCATATTCTTGGCCGTCATTTTTTCTCACTGACAAAATGAAATTTGCCAAATTTGTATCCATTTCCTTAGGTGGTATGTTATGTAAATCTCTTGTTTCATTTTTGCCCTTTAGAAATCTGGTGAATTTATTAACATAAAGATTTTTTTTCTTAATAGTTTGCTTGTTTTTGGAATCTTTGATTAATTGCAATACATCACTGTCAGAGAGACTGATAAACTCATTGGTTTCTCTGCTACAGAGGGGAGATCATTGTCACTGTAGTGTCACTCTTTGGGACAGCTAACTCTACTGTATCAAAGTCTACATTTAATGGAGTTTTTTTCATCATATGATTCAACAAAATCATCATCAAAGGCAGATATATCTTCCCCATACCTTTGAAAAAAATCTTCTCTAGATATTTCAACAACATTTTCTGCTTGATTACAGTCATCAGTATCATTTGCAGGAAAAAATCATTTTATATAATGTCAAAAGTTGTTTGACTGAGGTAATCTTACATTGTTTACTATTGCAGACGATGAAAGTATCCCATTGTGCATTGCAAAATAGTAGCGAACTAATACCCAGCACGCAAAATTCATTCTTGAAGATATAAAAGTAAAGCTATCAGGCTTGAAAGGGGTAAAATATTAAATAAAACAACACATGTACATGTAATAATGTTTATTATTCATTATGACAGGAAACATAACTAAAATAAGCCATAATAATCTTTTATTTGACAAAATCAGAGCACGGAGAAGTATGAAAGAAAGTAGTCCGGGAAATAGTTGGTATTCATACACATTGCTTAACCATGTGACATACTGACTGGAAATAGATAAGGTTATCCGGCAAGGCTTTTTCCAGCTGATAATATCATAAGACAGTAGCAGGATAAAAATAAACAAAAGGCAGTGATAGCAGATTAAAAATTTCTCCGCAACTCGGAATCAATTTAGAAAAACTGGTGCATTAACATTCCAATATATTGAAAGGGTTTTAATCTTAAAAGCTCCGAGTCTATAACATATTTTTTTCAATTTTGATTTTTTGGGCGTTCTTTAGGGATTCCGTTTTTCGCTATTTTACTAGTATGAGGGATATTCATCCATAAAATTTCAAGCCGTTATATTTCAATGTTTTGAGTTATTGTGTTAAGAAAAAAAAATAAAGTATTCATATTATAAAATGGAGAGTTGACATTCAATCGTTTCAAATTAGTAACTTTAACTTTAAAGCTTTGATGAATTAAGGTCTGGATGAAAATAATGCAAAAGAGAAACAGTACAACAATACAAGAGGGCCATGATGGCCCTGAAATCGCTCACCTGTATATAGACCCCTGGGCCAATGCCAATTTTAAACCAGGGACTTTTATTTGAACAAACTTGGTAGACAGCCATTAGAAGATGTTTCATGATAAATATCTAAGCTTTAACTCTTTAGTGTTTTTATAAGAAGATATTTTTAAGTTTTTGCTATATACATATAGGAAAAAACAATGACCACCCGGGAGGGGCCAATTTTGACCCCAAGGCTAACTAGAAAATATTTCATACTTAGTATAAAAACTCTAGCTCTTTTTGTTTTTTAAAGGAAGATTTTTTAAGTTTTTACTCTATACAAAATAATGAAAATCAATGACCCCCTGGGGCCGGGTCAATTTTGACCCCAGGGCATTGATTTGGTAGACACTGACTAGGTGATGTTTCATGCCAAATATTTAAGCTCTAGCTCTTGCAGTTTTCTAAAAGAAGATATTTTAAGTTTTTACTATATACAAATAAGGAAATTCAATGCCCCCTGGGACAGGGCCAATTTGGCCCCAGGGCATTTATTTGAACAAACTTGGTAGACACCCACTAGAAGATGTTTCATGCTTAATATTTAAGCTCTAACTATTTGGGGTTTTTAAAAGAAGATTTTTTAAGTTTTTACTATATACAAATAAGGAAAATCAATGACCCCCGGGGCAGGGCCAATTTTGACCCCAGGGCTTTTATTTGAACAAAGTTGGTAGACACTGACTAGGTGATGTTTCATGCCAAATATTTTAGCTTTAGCTCTTGCGGTTTTCTAAAAGAAGATATTTTAAGTTTTTTCTTTCGGTTGCCATGGTAACCAGAGTTCTGCATGGAATGGAATTCTTTGAACAACTTTGTTAAAGCTTCACACAAGGAACATCCCTGTGAAGTTTCATTATGATCTGCCTTATGGTTTCAGAGGAGATGTTGTTTTAAAAGTGTGAGCGGACAACTGACGACAGACGATGGATGAAGAGTGATCCTAATAGCTCTCCCTGAGCATAATGCTCAGGTGAGCTAAAAACATGAAAATTATAACAAAATGGTTAAGCATGACAAATTTCAAAGTGAATTAAAAATAAATGCAAATGATAAATTTTCATTCTTGCCCACTAAACTTCTCCTTTTTAACAATTTATATCTCAAATTGATTCTGTATTATACAAAGAAAGACAGACAGACAATTTATTTCAATCAAATAAGGCTTATAAGCCCATGATGACATAATACAGCATATTTACAAGATAACGAACAGTGCATATGTTAACATACAAAACATTATCACAATATCATTATGACTTTACTGGAGAAGGTCATAATAACAACTTATTCGTAAAAACATAGAATAATGCAAATATTAATTTATGTTTGTCTTACTCTCACATACTTCTTATTAGTTAAAATGATTGCATGAATTAAATGTTCTGTTCTGGAAATGTTTAGCTACCCAAAAAATGATATAATTTACCATATTAATCTATGAAGTAGGTTGACAACAAACATAATAAATTTTCACTACATTACATAAATTATTTAACTAAATAAGTTTACATAATAAATTTTCACTACATTACATAAATTGAGCCGTGTCATGACAAAACCAACATAATGGGTTTGCGACCAGCATGGATCAAGACCAGCCTGCGCATCTGCGCAGTCTGATCAGGATCCATGCTGTTCGCTTACCGACTCTATTACAAGTAGAGAACTGATAGCGAACAGGATGGATCCTGATCAGACTGCGCGGATGCGCAGGCTGGTCTGGATCCATGCTGGTCGCAAACCCATTATGTTGGTTTTGTCATGACACGGCTCAATTATTAAACTAAATAAGTTTATCTTACCTCACTATTGAGGCAAGAGACATAGATTATATCATATAAATTCCTATTATAC